GCCTCCAAACAAAAGTATTTTTGTTTTTACAAGTGTTACACTGAACCCCGGTGGATTTGGAGCCCAGATCTATGTCATCTATGTCCCCATTCCCAGTCTCCTCTACCCTGTCTGCCTGTCTGCTGTAGTTTAAACAGTCTTGAGAGTGAGATTTCCAGCCCCACAACTTGATGAAAGGAAATGCTTGGATACAAAGTGTCCCCAGCCTGTGGTGTTACTAAGGATCATGAAAGAATAACTTATCATTAGGTGTCTGTCACAATCACTAAGTTCCTCCTGAATGAGTTATCAGGAAGTGGGGCCTGTTTAGACTTTTGAGAGACATCTTTTGGGGCGATTCAAGACAGGGTTTCTCTTTGTGTAGCCCTGGCTGTCCTGGAACTCACTCTGTAGACCAGGCTGGCTTTGAACTCACAGAGATTCAGTCTCCCACGTGCGGGGAGCAAAGGTGTGTGCCACCCGCAAAGGGCTTGTGAGGTCTGCTGAGGAAAAGCAGATCCCTGAGGGCAAGTCTGTGATGAGTCACTCTGTCTTTCCTTCCCTCTCCCACACCCTCTCCTTCCTGGATATCATAAAGTGAGGTGTCCCTATACCTCTGTCATGATGACACAGACCACAGCCATGGCACAAGACAACCACACAGAAACCAGGAGAGCAAAGCAAATTTGGTAGGCCCTGTGCTCGGGCCAGGAAGGAAATTGGGTTAAGGTCTCCCTCCACCTTGGTTTGCCTGAAAGTAGGGTATGAAGACTCACACGCAGAGAACACCAACTGGACAAGGCAGGGGAGGTGACTTCTAGATGGGCCCAGGCTTACAGGACAGAATTCCAAGCAGGGAGAAAGAAGGCTCGGCTGCCAGTCCCTGATGGAACTGACAACTCGGGCATCTGCGCCACCTCTGGAGTTTACACACGGTTCCACTGTTGTTCTCTTCTTATCTCCCCGCCTTGTCTGCGCTCCCTGAGGTCAGCGACTACCCTTCCTCGTGCCTCATCCAGGGATCCCTAAAGCTCTGGCTTCCAGAACAAACACACGACCACTAAATTCAATTTTTCACTTCACAGAAGTGGCGGACTTCCCGCTGTACCCTAAAGAATGAGTGAGAATTGAACAGATGGAAGAGATAGCCGAGGATGAGCGGTAGACAGGGGTGAGGAGAGATTCTAGATGTGGGGAGGAAATGGTGGGTGACAGACCAATTAAAGGACGTTACAGTCACATGTGTTGGAGATGCACTAACGGCAGCCTGTCACAGGGTAGCTTCAGGGCCAGTGTCAGGGCAAGGTGAGGCTTTTGTGGGCAACTCTCAGTGTTCACAGTGGAGGCCAGTCCAGCTGATCGGGGGGGGGAAGTTCTCAGGCTTTCTCCCAGAACAAAACTGGACCTGACATTCTCACCCATGGTATGCAGGCCTGTAATTCCAGCATTTAGGGAGTTGAAGCAGGAGGATGGCAGCAAGTTGAGGCTTGCCTGGGCTACAGGGAAAGCACCTGCATTTAAAAGAGAAGGGGTATAAAGACAGTTCATCCCTGACAGGATTCTTGTTTTGTTTTGGAGACAGGCTGTCACACTGTAAGTCAGGCTGGCCCTGAACTCACAGCAATCCTCCTGCCTCAGCCTCCTAAGTATATAGTATTACAAGTATGAGCCACCGTGTCCAGCCTTATATTTTATTTATTTGGGTTTTTTTTTGTTTTGTTTTTATTTGATTTTTTGAGACGGGGATTCTCTGTGTAGCTTTAGCTATCTTGGAACTCACTCTGTAGACCAGGCTGGCCTCCACCTCACAGAGATTCACGTGCCTCTGCCTCCCAAGTGCTGAGATTAAAGGTGTGTACCACCACCGCCCAGCACATTTTAAAAAACTATAACCAAGAACCTAAATGTTTAGCATGAACTGAGGAATGTGGTTCCCTTCAGGCTTCAGACTGAGAACTCAAAAGTAGGGCCGACAGCATGGAGGCCATTTAGGGCAGCCCTCAGGCTCCGGTCAGAGGCAGTTCAGGTAGGAGCAGGGGGTGAGGCCCAGAGATGGAGCAGCAGCCTGCTCTGTGCTGCGCCTGATGCCCTGGGTTCTCCGTACCACAAAAGGTGGGGAGAGAGGGAGTCAAGGAGAGAGGAAGGAAGGGACTAAGGGAGGAAGAGAAAGAGAGGTGGGAGGAGGAGGGAGCCAAGTCCAGCAGCAGAGGAAAGAATGGGAAACTGAGGCATAAACAGCTCCTGGCTAAGAACCACCCACAGCCACCTCAGGAACGCCCAGCCACCTCTCCAGATCCTTACTGATTGGGACCTGCTGTGGTGATATGACACAAATGTCCCCCAAGGGTTCATATATTTGAACGCTTGGTCATCAGGGAGCAGCACTACTTGAGAAGGCTTAGGAGGTGTGGCCTTGTTACAGGTAGTGTGTCACTGGGGGTGGGCTCTGAGGATTCAAAAGCCCATCAAGGCCCTCTCTCTCTCTCTCTCTCTCTCTCTCTCTCTCCTCTCTCTATCGCTCTCTCCATCTCTCTCTCCCCCCCAAAGGGTCAGGATATAGCTCTTAACTACTTCTCCAGCACCAGACCTGCCTGTCACCATGCTCCCCACATGATGAGCACAGACTAAGCCTCTGGAACCGTGAGACTTTCTCTTCTAAGAGCTGTCATGGTTGTGGTGTCTCTTCGCAGCAATGGAACGGTGACTGAGACACCTGCCAACCTGTCAAGGAGCCAGAACAAATGACTCTAGATTGAACTTTTAAATAAGACTCTGTCATTTTATATGCAGGAAAAAAGGGAGGGCTTGCCAGGTGGTAACTAAATGGTCACAGTCCAGGTCCTTAGTACCCTGGAAGGCAGGTTCCAAGTTAAAATACATACCCTTTTCACAGACTGAAGCACCTATGGGCAGCAGAAGGGGTGGGGCTCCTGACACTCAGGAAATGACAGAACTCAGACACTTAGCAGGAGATGGAAGGTGGACCTTATAGTCCTTGGTCACCAAACCTCAGGAAGGGCCATTTGAAAGCTCCCTGCCCAGTGTTTAGCCATTAACACGTTAGGAACCTATCAGTCTGTTCAAACGCAGGACTGTCTTGTGAAAGGGACAAAGGGACGGTGATTCCTTCATTACAGAGACTGGGGGGAGGGGGAGTTTGCTCAGTGAAGGGACACTGGGACACACACACCCTTGCTCCTTAGAGAACTGAGAAAATAGCTGAAGAGAAGGTTCCCCATGCCTCTACCTTCACACCTGCTAGGCTTCCTCTCCTAAAAATAATATGCGTGTGCGTGTCTATCCAAGGCCAACTGTTCCTGTGCCCCCAGGTCCCACATCTTAGATCTAACTGCTTCCTCTCTTATTTGCCTCTACTACAAAACGTTATGACATACCCCATGTTAACACCACACAGGCAGGGTGGTGGTGGCACACGCCTTTAATCCCAGCTCTCAGTAGGCAGAGGCAAGAGGCAGTCAATCTCTCTGAGTTCAAGGCCAGCCTGGTCTACAAAGCAAGTATCAAGAAAGTCAAAGCAGGCCGGGTGTTGGTGGCGCACGCCTTTAATCCCAGCACTCGGGAGGCAGAGGCCAGCCTGGTCTACAGAGCAAGTTCCAGGACAGCCTCCAAAGCCACAGAGAAACCCTGTCTCGAAAAACCAAAAAAAATAAAAAATAAAAAATAAAAGAAAGTCAAAGCTACATGGAGAAACGTTTTCTCAAAAAAAAAGCAAAAAGCATTCATGTCCATTTCCAAAATCAGGTTTCCAGCTCATGCTCCCTGCTATTTGCGGGGTTGTGGGGGTGAGGAACATTTCTGGGGATTAAAGCCAGGGTCCTGCTAAGCCTGCTCACCACGAGTTCAGCCCTCAAAGCCCCCCCATCCTCCCTATGCTCTTCTATGACCTCCGATCATCACATCACATCTGCCCTAGACCAAACTTTAATATCCTTCCCAGCAAATTCTCCTTTCACAGACTCCCCTATTTCTCCAGTTCAAGCACACAGTGAAAGGAGCAGGCAAAAGCGCCTTGGCCAGAGTACTGCCATTTTGACTTCAGGTGAAATAAGTTCAGATCCCCAAGCCCTAGGGGAGCTGAGGACTGTCCGATGGCTGACCAGCCTCCTCCTTCAACCATAGAAATCGTCGTCATTGTGTGTCTTTAGCTCTCTAGAAGCATGGCTGTTCCTAACCACAGAAGGAACAAATGAATCTGATTGGTTGGACTGAAAAACTTATGTTGTGTGTTGGTTGACAACAATGGAATACAGGAGGGTCCCTAATCTTTGATTTCTGATTGGCAGAAATTGCAACTGTAACTTGGCAACAATTGTTTGTGTTTTTTGTACTTAGAAATCCGGCTTCCTACCCCTGCTTGGGGCTGGCAGGGGAAATGAGGCTCTCAAGTCCTTGTCCCGTGGCCCTGATGCACCAGTGACCCCCTTATGAGGTAAATTATTAAAATCTTTGGAACCCGTAAGTGTTGTCCCTCTCCTTCCTCGTGTCCCGAAACGGGCTAGGTGTAACAACAGAGATTCTAACTATTCAACCAAAGAATATTGTGATTGGCCAGAAGTCATCTGTTTCTCTCACACTGAACATCCATCTACTACAGCAGCAAAACAAACAAAAAAACTGTTTTCAAAATATATCCAGAATTTAAGAATTTAGTAAGATGTGGAGAGCAGAAAGAAGGATCACTGCAAGTTTGAGGCAAGCCTAATCTACAGAGTTACAGTTCGGCCAAGGCTACACAGGGAGACATCGACTTCATATAGATGACTGACAGATCGATCGATCGATCGATCGATAGATAGATAGATAGATAGATAGATAGATAGATAGATAAGATAGATCGATCTTTAGCGAAGCAGGTGGTTGTGCATGTCTTTAATACCAGCACTTAAGGCAGAGGCAGGCGGAATCTCTGTGAGTTCGAGGGCAGCCTGGTCTACAGAGGACTGATATATACAGAAACTTTATCTTGGAAAACCAAAAAGAAAAAAAAACTAAAAAACAAAACCTTTGATCGGGTTTATTGTTGTAGTTTCTTATCAAATCATAACGTAAAGGCTAAGAAATAACCGGTGGATTTGGCAAAATGGAAGTCCTGGGCAACGTTCACGAAGTTGCTGTCACTGGAGTGGGAGGTCCGGTTGAGCCGCATCCTGACTGGCTCCACTCCGAAGTAAGCGCCTCCTCAATCCCCCAGGAACTCACCTGTTCCGAGCCTTTACATTTTTGTTGTTCCTTCCACTTGAACCACCCTTTCTCCAGACATCCACGTGCTCCTGTCTCTCCAGAATTCTGTAAAATAAGCTTCTGATATACTAAGCTATTTTAAATAATAGCCCTTCCCCTCGATTTCCCTACTTGTCGCTATTTTCCTTGACTGTGTCACTCTCTGATTGTATCCGTTTACTGGACTTCTCTCCACTCACGAAAGCTCTGAGGACAGGGCTTTGTTTTGACATCACTGTCATTTCAAACAAGAGCATCTGACAAACAGTGGGTATTCGGTAAATATATGTTCGATTAACAGTCGGGGACTGGAACGCAAAAGGCTACCACCAGGAACGTGAGAGCACACTCAACTTCAGGACTTGCGCTCTAGAGCTCCCGCAGGTTCCAGCGCCTCCCAACCGAACGCCCCTTTCTTAGGAGACATACGGTAGGGTTTCCGCCCGGGTTCAACCCTCACTCAATTCCGAAGAAGGAGGGGCGGAGGGTTATGTCATCCTTCCGCGCCGGCTTGCCCCGCGACGCGCCGCCGGCTGGCGCAGCCCTTCGCTCGCCCGGCCTCCCCCTCCCTGGTTCCGCGCTCGGGTTCCGCCATGGAATCCAACAAGGATGAAGCCGAGCGCTGTATCAGCATCGCCCTCAAGGCCATCCAAAGCAACCAGCCCGACCGGGCGCTGCGCTTCCTGGAGAAGGCGCAGCGGCTGTACCCGACGCCACGAGTCATCGGTGAGTGGGAGGCGCCGCAGGGACCGAGGGGGACATTAGCACCGATGGGGGGAACACGGGAACGGACCGACGGGAGCAGTTGGCGGAGGGGGAAGGGTGGTGAGGCGCGGCTACGCCTGCGCACTCGTGAGCGCGGGCGCTGCTGGGATTCGTAGTCCCGCGGTCTCGCGCCTCTGTGGGATGCTGGACCCCAGGAGACCTCCGAGGGCCAGCTCTCTAGCCTTTTCAGTGCTTGTGGGCCCCTCTGGAATATGAGGTTTCTGGGAAGGAGATGCGCTGGCAGACCAGGCCAACAGAACTCACATGAAAGCGAAAGCGAACTACTTTCCCCAGGGGGCTGTGCGATGGCCCAGGGCCAGTGGCCGGCCTGGGAAATATTATAGTTCAGGAAAATAAACATAACTATTCTAAGGGAGAATGGGGTCTAGGGAGGGAGGGAATTCCTAGAAAGGCACTTTCTGGTCTTCATTCACTCGAATCAAAGAACCCTTCGCGAAATAAGCCACTCTACCTCGGAGTATAGATCCTGCAGTCTCTTGAACGCAGAGTTTCGGGGTGAATGGATTGTTGAAGATCCCAGGCTCAGCCACCCCATCCCACCTTCGCCCCCAGCACGCCTAGGTATCGGGCCTTATGGACTGCTACGGCTGCTGAGTACGGCCTAAGGCTGACAGTTCCCAAACCAAGGAGGGAACATCGCCTCACTTTACTTGGTATTATTACTGCTGCTGCTGCTGCTGCTGCTGCTGTTTTCTGAGACAGGGTTCCTCTGTATAACAGCTCTAGCTGTCGTGGAACTCGATATGTAGACGAGACTGGCCTTCAACTCACAGAGATCTGCCTCCCAAGTGCTGGGTTTAAAGGTGTGTGCCACCACCGCCCGGCTGTCCCCTCCTTTTGTGTGTCCGGGTAATCTGAGTTCCCAAAGGAAATTTAAATACCATCGGGAAAGGAGAAAGACACAGGGTTTGTGCCCATGAACTTAGTAAACTCTGATGTGTAGTAGAGTTAAGGGACCTGCATCTCCTCATGACTGCTGTCATGACATTTCTGAACTCAGGTTTCTTCATCTGCAAGCGAGTTGGAGCAGACAGTGTATATAACAAGAATTCCCATAGAACTTTTTGGGTTAGAAAGTTCTTCCCCGTCTGTTTTGTCACCTGATCCTGTCTTGTGAGAAAGACGGAGAACACTGTTCTTGTATCTTATGGAGATGAGAAATATCTCAACGATAAGGGACTCAGGATATGAAACAGCCAGGAATTGGAAAGCCCTGAGACTCCATAAATGTTTATTAAAATGAAATGAAGAGCCACGGCCCGCCCCTCACCTTCCCTGCCCACGTTTGGAAATAGAGAAAGAGGAGTGCTGACCGACAGGGCAGCCGGATTCCTGAACTTTCCTCCCTCCTCGATTTACAGGTTGATCTTTGATCTATTTGCCTCCTCTAGGAGAGGGTTTCAGTCAGTCTGTATTTACCAGGACTGCCCCAGTAACAGCTCAAGGTGCTCCCCTATGGGATAATTCCCTCTTTAGAAATGGAGGGCACAGTGGGGTGCGGACTGTCAGAATTCCATCTGATTGCTGCTGGGAGCTAGGGAGCAGTTGAGAAAGCTGATGAAACAGGGCCTGTAGGGCATGGCAGAAACCACTGTGCTAGTTCAGGAACTTGGACAGGGTCCTTCCAGGACTTTGCTCTCTCTCTCTCTCTCTCTCTGTGTGTGTGTGTGTGTGTGTGTGTGTGTGTGTGTGTGTGTGTGTGTGTGTGTGTGTGTCAGAGTCAGTTTGTCCTCCCATCTCGTGGGTCCCAGGGATGGAACTTGGATAGTTGGGCCTGGCAGTAAGTACCTTCACTGCCCGCCAATCACCAACTGTTATGTCTCTGCTAGAGAGAGTACATGCCTCATGCATGAACTAACAGCAGCCTTGCACTGAACTGACAAGAATGTATGGCTAGTATAGGCCTGGGCTAGGGAAATGTTGGTTAAAAAATATTAGGTAGCTGTCTACACTGAATGTTTTGGATAGTTCATTCCCGGTGTTCATTCAACACAACAGGTTGTTACAGATATGGTGGTCTGTGATCTCTGAGCTCAGGAGCCTGCGGCAAGAGAATTGCCTCAGGTTTGAGGTCAGCTGGGCTATATAGCAAGACCTTGTCTTTAAAAAAAAAAAAAAGGAACTGGTGTTGAGAATTTTTTTTTTTTTGGTTTGGCCTGCAAAGTTCACTGCTTGATGCCAAGTGGTTTAGCAGGATTGGCAAGATCCTAAAGGAAGCAAACATCCAGAGGAAAAAGATTGTAAGGCAGGTGATAACAGTGGTTTAACAGAAAATAGACACGGTTGGTTGTTTAGGTGCTGAGAGCTTAAGGGTAGCTATGAAAAAGTCTAGTCCCTACCACTTGTGAGTTCACAGTCTTGGGAGATGGGAGGGTGTGGAGGATAATCTTCCAGCCAGTATATTGTAAACTGTTGGGAGCCCTGTAATGAGGGCTCACAAATGTTATCTCACAGAGGGAAAGGCTGCAGGCTGTAAGAAATGAAGCAAGAAACATAGCCAGGCGGCGGTGGCACACTTTTTAATTCCAGCACTCGGGAGGCAGAGGCAGGCAGATCTCTAAGTCCAAAGCCAGCCTGACCTACAGAGTGAGTTCCAGGACAGCCAGGACTACACAGAGAAACACTATCTCAAAGAAAAAAAAAGAGGCAATATTCAAACATCCAATTTGTTAAAAGAGCTAGAAGACCTGGAGGCCAGAAGTTTTAAAAGGTTTGGCCAGGGATTTTGCACAGAGACATTTAGAGACAAGTGAAATGGGAATTTATATAGAGAATTAAAGTTAGAAAGTGGAATGGGGCCAGACTGTTGGATTCCTTTCCTGCCAGACCAAGGTCTTTCATGCTATTCTGTATAGAGGAAGCTAGAGAGGGTTTGCTTTGTCGTGAGAGTCAGCTGAGTCCATCGTACCTGCACATACACTTGAAAGCTAGAGTACCAGGCATAACAAAGGCAGCCTTGGGCTAGAAGAGACCAAAAAGGGGATAAGGTTTCTTAAAAGAAACCACATGAAATCCCAGCACTCGGGAGGCAGAGGCAGGCGGATCTCTGTGAGTTCGAGGCCAGGCTGACAGCCTCCAAAACAATACAGAGAAACCCTGTCTCGTAAAAACCAAAAAAAGAAAGAAAAAGAAACCAAATGAGGCCAGGAATGGCGGTGCATGCCTATAATCCTGGCAGTGAGGAAGTTGAGGTAGTAAATCATTTGAGGCCACCCTGGAGATAGCACAGGAGATTCTGTCTCCAAAAAGGTGAGGGGTGGGGTGGGGGTGAGCCAGAAAGGAGAAAGAGAATGAGAACAACCTAAGAGATCAATGGCCTCAAATAGGTTAGGATGTGATGACATAAGGTGGGAGACAGAAATGAAGAGCCATCGTGTGATGATGCGGTGACGTAGATGAATGCTGGGGGGTTGGGGTGAACTTTTGTGACCTGAGAAGGCCCAAGCCAAAAACACTGGACAGAAAGAGGTGGGCAGAATGGGAATTGCCAGTAGTATATTCTTGGGAAGCCACCTGTCTAGAGCCCAAGAGTAAGCACCAGATTCTAGTTTAAAGACTTGTCACCAGTTTGTTGACCCTCTTTGGAAATGGGCACGACTGAGGTCACTGTGGGAAAGCAGAGACCATGGAGATGCTGTGGCCCAGTAGACAAACGTACACCCTGCCTGCTCTTAGCCGCTGGGAGTGAGATGGAGCAGCAGCAGGAGAGTAGTCCTGGGAGATGACAGAGGTGGTAGCCATGGAGTCGTCAGCTGCTGCAGAGGCCACTGAGGGAAAGAGACAGATTGAAGACCAGAAGGGAAAGTATGGAGGGCCAAAGTAGAGTCATTGGTCTCTGATAGGTAAAGGGTGGGTGAAGGGAGGGGCAGCTAAGGGGCTCACACAAGAATGGAAGTCCCTCCTGTGTTAGCTTTCACCATGGGAAGGAGAAGAAGGGGCTTGCTGTAGGGACAGGACAGGGAGACACCACAACTAGACAGCCACACGGTGGGACAGGAACAAGGCTGCAGGGAGGCCACAGCAGAAGTGATGCGGTCATTGTCTTTCTCTGGGAATTTCTTCTTTAAAAAAAGGTCTCATTCAAAAGACTGACCTGGAACTCACTTTGTAGACAAAGAGATCTGGCTACCTCTGCCTCCCGAGCGCTGAGATTAAAGGCGTGCATCACCATGCCCAGCTTTTTTTCTGGCATGTTCTATCCAGCATTTGTTGACCTGATGGTCAGTAGCTTCACCTGATACTTAGTGAAGTGACTGAAAGAACTGGACATGGAGGGGACATGGTGGCATACATCTGTCATCGCAGCACTGGGGGGCTGACAGGAGACAAGAGGATCTTCCATGCCAGGTCAGCTTGGCCTACATAGTGAGAATCTGTCTCAAAGAAAATAAAAGACAGCAGATTTTGCAAGGAGTCCTCGAGAATATAATTAGACCTCAGTTTCCCTAGCAAAGAGAGAGTTGGCTGAATGAGGTACCTACAGAGCCTGTTACCCAAGCTCCTATGAAATGGCTCCCTGTGGGGTCTGGGAAGAATGAGACTTGGCAATGCCATGGGAGATGGGGGTGGGGAAGAATCTTGGTTACCAGGGGATTTGGGACTTCAGAGTCAGGGGGACAGAGAACTGTAATACCAGGGAGATGCAGAGTGGAGTTGTCCATTTAGGTCAGCCCGCCTTTGAGATTCCCCAGTTCTTCCAGTCTCTGCATTTCACTGAATTTTATTTGCTCCTCCGAGCAGCCGGGGGCAGGGGTCAAGTCTATACTGAGAAATTAGCTATGGTGACAAGTGCATGCTGCTGAAT